GGTATGCCACAACATGGTTGTTATTTGTAATTGATAATTGAGGGCATGAAATACTCCTAATTAGATTTAATAAAGGATATGAAAAGAAATTTGGTAGAATTAATTTTCTTATTATAATAGTAAATATATGAAAATAAATATTATACTCATTTTAAGAACTTTTAATCACTACATCAAATATACAATATATTATAGTAATATGTATTTCATGAGCTATATACGAGTTTTAATTTATTTTTATTTTGATAATCATTTTTTAATGTAGAGAAATTTATGAAAAACAATATTTCATTTAACGTATGGATTTGATCAAGATTGGAGGTTGGAGATGGAGCTACGCGCGTTTATCAGTTTCTAGAAAATTCAAAATAACATTTTATAATATATATTTATAAAATGATTTAAGATAATGGATGTATCACCGCCCCAGCGGTTGTCAGCATGCTCTTAAGTCACTCATTTGCCGTAAGGCCCAGGGTTCTAGTCCAACTCATTTTTTGCACCACTTAGGCTCCTCCGTAGAAGCTCGTTCGTCCGTGCCAGATACTCCGGTCCTAAGTAGGGGGTAACCCCCTACTAACATAAGTAAAAATATCATACTAATTATTATTATTTAACTGTGTTAATTAAATAATTAATCTTAAATCTACAATATAAGTAGGGGGTTACCCCCTACTTATGTTAGTAGCGGAAGTTACCCCTTACTGGGGGTCCGACTGTTGTCCTACTTCGAAGTGGGATTTGCCCCTGACGATCTGGACGTCATCATCATCCGTAAAGGCGGAAGCAGGTTCTTCGTCCGGTGTTAGGTGGGGGTCACGGTCATCTGGGGACGTTCCTCGGCTCGTGTTCCGCCGCTGTCGAGAATTGATTCATTGGTTCTGGTAAAATCTCGTCCTTTTCATTGGTTCCAGTCATGGCTAGTAGAGTTTGTTTGCTCTTTGTAACTTAAGTGTTGGTCGTATAGGGAGGCTGACCATTTACTAGGTTTTTATTTCTTCTTACTTGTTTGTATCTTGTTATTGTACTTTGCTGACCCGTTTCTTTTCACGTGCAGGAATGATGCCTTCACTCCATGATAAGGTCCTTAAGATCGTGCTCGACCAGGGGAAAGTAAACCGTTCGTCCAAGAAGAGCAAGAAAAGCTGACTCGGGCAAGGTAGTTCGGGCAATGCCTCTCCAGCAGTCGAGCTTCACAGGGAGTCCGAATTGTCGAGCCAGGGGGACAATGTTCTGCAAGAAGGCTCCTCCGTAGAAGCTGTCCGTCGTGCCAGATACTTCGGTCAGGAAGAGGGGCAGGGAGCCCAAACCCAACATGCTGGACCTGATCGATGATGTCGGGTGAGGGCGTGTTTCAAAGGATGCGTACCCATTACTAACATAGCTATGTTGGTCGACAATTCAGCCAACTTTAAATATTGTCATTCAGGGATGCATACTCGGGGTACAATCAAATCCCAATGGCTATGGACCATAAAAAATACACGGCCTTCATGACCGAGTCGAGTAATTACTACTACAATGTAATGCATTCGGTTTGAATAACGTCGAGCCATATATCAACGAATGATAAATAAGTATTCCGAGCAAAAATCTGAGATTCGACGCGACCGTCTTCAGCGAGCGCTCTCTTTGTCTTCTTTCTTCTGCATTTTGAGGTCCTCCTTAGAGAAGCACGTGTCGATGTCGATGGTGTCGACCCGAGGGAGTGGCTTGGGCTCTTCTGAGCTGCTAGGTCGTCCAGTTTGGGAGGGGGACTCAATTGCGCTCATTCCCTTGGCAGCTATGTCGAAGCATCTCCGGGAGGCTTCGATATCTCTCTGGATGGTCGCCACGTTTCCGAGGGAGTGTGGTACTCATCTTCAGGTGTACCGGGATGGGTACCGCACATCCGCTCAGCCAACGCTGGTAGATGGAGGGCAGTCGATCACCGTTTTTGTTTATAATATTTTTTTATATGATAAAAGATATGATAAAAATAGTATTAATAGTTTTTTTTTTATTGATAAAAAAATAGTATTAACAGGTGGGAGTTAATAAATATTTCAATAGTTGATTATTAACTATTTCAAACTTTTGGTTTTGATAAATATTTGGAGATTTAGGGTTTTTTTTTCCAATTTTGTTGCAATTCAATCTTTTGAATTATTGTTGATATTATTATATTATTTTGTTGTAATTAAATCTTTTGAATGTTGTTCATATTGAAATAAATCAATGTCCTCTACCTACTAGACATGTAACCCTACTAGGGACATAAACCCTACTATTGTTAGGGGTTATATTGCCACGTCCCTAGTAAACATATAACCCCTTATACACATATAACCCCATTAAGCATATAACCCCTACTACTATGAATTAATTGTTGCAATTCAATCTTTTGAATTATAGTTGATAATAATATTATTTTGTTGCAATTCAATCTTTTGAATTAGTGTTCATATTGAAATAAATCAAATGTCCCTACCTAATAGACATGGTAACCCCTACTAGGGACATAACCCCTACAATGGTCATAACTCCTTCTAGTAGGGTTTATGCCCCTATGTTATATATGGTAGGGTTATATTGCCACGTCCCTAGTAAACATATAACCCCTACTAAGGTATAACCCCCACTAGGGACATAAACCCCTACTTAGTAGGGGTTATATCTCCTACTAGACGTATAACCCCTACTATAATATGGGTTTATGACTAGTAAGGATTATGTCCCTAGTAGGGGTTACATATCTAGTAGGAAAAGGTTACATGGCTAGTAGGAACCCCTACTATATATGTAACCCCTACTATGAACATAACCTTTACAATGGTCATAATAGGGGTTTATGACTAGTAAGGAATATGTTCCTAGTAGGGGTTACATGTCTAGTAGGAACCCCTACTATATATGTAACCCCTATTATGAACATAACCCCTACAATGGTCATAACTCCTTTTAGTAGGGTTTATGCCCCTATATTATATATAGTAGGGATTATTTTGCCACATCCCTAGTAAAATATAACCCCTACTAAGGGTATAACCCCTACTAGACATATAACCCCATTAAACATATAGCCCCTACTAACCCCTGCCCCTCTTCCTGGCCGGAGTATCTGGCACGGACAGAAGAGCTTCTATGAAGGAGCCTTCTTGCAGCACATTGTCCCCCTGAGGCTCGACAATTCAGACTCCCTGTGAAGCTCGGACTGCTGGAGAATATGCTGCAAGAAGGCTCCTTCGTAGAAGGAGATATACGTCTAGTAGGAGATATAACCCCTACTAAGTAGGGGTTTATGTCCCTAGTGGGGGTTATACCTTAATGGGGTTATATATCTTGTAGGGGTTATACCCTTAGTAGGGGTTATATGTTTACTAGAGACGTGGCAATATAACCCCTACCATATATAACATAGGGGCATAAACCCTACTAGAAGGAGTTATGACCATTGTAGGGGTTATGTCCCTAGTAGGGGTTACATGTCTAGTAGGTAGGGACATTGATTTATTTCAATATGAACAACAACTCAAAAGATTGAATTGCAACAAAATAATATATTAATATCAACAATAATTCAAAAGATTGAATTGCAACAAAATAATATATTGGCAATAAAAAAAAGGGGTTAGTAGGGGTTATATGCTTAATGGGGTTATATGTCTAGTAGGGGTTATACCATTAGTAGGGGTTATATGTTTACTAGGGACGTGTCAATATAACCCCTACTATATATAATTTAGGGGCATAAACCCTACTAGAAGGAGTTATGACCATTGTAGGGGTTATGTTCATAGTAGTAGGGGTTATATGCTTAATGGGGTTATATGTGTAATATGGGTTATATGTTTACTAGGGACGTGGCAATATAACCCCTACTATATATAACATAGTAGGGGTTATTTCCCTAGTAGGGCTTACATGTCTAGTAGGTAGGGATATTGATTTATTTCAATATGAACAACAATTCAAAAGATTGAATTGCAACAAAATAATATAATAATATCAACAATAATTCAAAAGATTGAATTGCAACAAAATAATATATTGGCAATAAAAAAAAAGGGGTTAGTAGGGGTTATATGCTTAATGGGTTTATATGTCTAGTAGGGGTTATACCCTTAGTAGGGGTTATATATTTACTAGGGACGTGCCAATATAACACCTACTATAGATCAAAAGATTGAATTGCAACAAAATAATATATTGGCAATAAAAAAAAGGGTTAGTAGGGGTTGTATGCTTAATGGGGTTATATGTCTAGTAGGGGTTATACTCTTAGTAGGGGTTATATGTTTACTAGGGATATGGAAAAATAACCCCTACTATATATAACATAGGGGCATAAACTCTACTAAAAGGAGTTATGACCATTGTAGGGGTTATGTTCATAGTATGGGTTACATATCTAGTAGGGGTTCCTACTAGACATGTAACCCCTACTAGGAACATATTCCTTACTAGTCATAACCCCTACTATGACCATTGTAAAGGTTATGTTCATAGTAGAGATTCCTACTAGACATGTAATCCGTTCCTACTAGATATGTAACCCCTACTAGTAAACCGTTCGTCCAAGAAGAGCAAGAAAAGTCGACTTGCGCAAGGGAGTTGGGAAATGCCTCTCCAGCAGTTCGAGCTTCACAGGGAGTCCAAATTGTCGAGCCTCAGGGAGACAATGTGCTGCAAGAAGGCTCCTTCGTAGAAGCTCTTCTGTCTGTGCCAGATACTCCGGTCAGGAAGAGGGGCAGGGGTTAGTAGGGGTTATATGCTTAATGGGGTTATATGTCTAGTAGGGGTTATACCATCAGTAGGGACGTGCCAATATAACCCCTACTATATATAACTTAGGGGCATAAACCCTACTAGAAGGAGTTATGACCATTGTAGGGGTC